TTCAGCGAACATTTCTTTACTTTTACATTTTATGGTGACAGTTGCCACAAACCCTTGAAAAACATAAGCTGCATATATGGCGTGATTTCCCAAAATTTGATTATTAAGGATTTGTAGTTTCATGCACTGACACAAAGGCCTTTCAACGATTTCAAATTACAGATGTCAATGAAGCGTGGGAGACATAGGCGCCGGAAGTGGGGGTGGGGGGGGGGGCAGTTTTGCCCCCCCCCCCCAATAAAAAAAAAGAAGAAGAAGAAAGAAGCAGTATTAAGGAGAAAGGACATAACAATAACAATAATAAAAACCTGAATTAAATCACATATAAAATTCCATTCAAAGAAAAGGAAAGTTAACAGGAATTAAATATTTCCTAAACATTGATCCGCATATGCCACCTATATTTATCAATAGAGGTTTTTATCATAGCGATATATATCGTGGAAATATTGTGAGAGAATGGAAAAGCGTGTGTGTTTTTTGTAATAGGGGTGAGAAGACATGAGCCTCTGAACGCTGGCGTACTGATGAGGGGGGGGGGCATATTTTTGTATGCGTTTGTTGGAAAATTAGAAATTCCCAAATTTACAGTCGGGCGATAAATATGCTTATTTAGACGCCTTCATGTCAGGGCCTCCCTCACTTTTTGAAAAAGTATGTTACAGAGAAAAAGAAAGAAAGAGAGAGAGAAACAATAAGTGACCTGCTATAATGTCACAAAATAATAAGGTATCAATATGCTCATTTGATCGTAGTTAAATATCTAAAAACCTCTGAGCATCCGGGGGCTCTGCCCCCTGGGCACATCAATGACCTTAATGGCCTTTGCTCATTACGCCAGCACTGCCCCTGGAAGGTGAGCCCCGGGAATGTTTGCCCCCCAAACTGCTTCCGGCGCGCCTGGTGGGAGAAATGGTTGAACCTAACAATGGAAGTTGTAAATAAATTTGCACCACTTAAATTAAACGTATGCGTAGGAATCCTTGTCTATGGGTTTCTGGTGACACCATTCCATACATAATTATACTCGTGATCACTTTCATGAGAAAGCTCTACAAACCAAAAGTGATTTAATGTGGAACAGATACAAACATTACAGAAATTTAGTCAATATGATGGTTAATCAACAAAAGAAGGATTATGTTGACTCTCTTCTTCAAGAGAATAAGGGTAATCCTGGTGCCCTATGGAAAACATTAAAGAGTTTAACAAATGCAAACGTTTCTGAAAAGATAACGTTACAAGTCTCGGGAAATTAATGAAATAGCTAATTCAGGAGAAGTAGCAAACATTTTCAGAAATTTTGTCAGTAGAACTGTGAAAGGTTTGCCCGACAATTTCGGAAGCATCAAGTGATGAAGTGATAACCACAAAATGCAGTACAGCCGAAGATAATCTGTCGGAACCGACAGAATTGTTTATTTTGCCAGTTATTGACAGCGAATTTATAAACAAAGAAATTAAGGGTTTTCCGGTAAATTAAGGCGCTACATGGAATGAAGGATTAAGTGTCACGTATACAATCTGTCACTGACAACTGGTGTAGTGCCTGCTGCATGGAAAATAGCAAGATACAACCCATCTTCAAATATGGAGATAAATTTCAAGTATGTAATTATAGACCGATATCCATTCTCCCCGTCTTATCCAAAATAATAGAAAAGGCAATCCATATGAATCTCCTTGAATGTCTGTCAGAAAAACGACTTGCTGTGTCGGTATTCTTGCTCGATCCTCGTGTACTATATCAATGCAGAAGTTTTAAGTCGGTGACATGTATAATGTCGGTCGGCCGACAAGTTTGTTTTTTTCCTTTAAATGAAATGTGACTTTTCATCCGCAGTGACGGCTTCAAGAGAGACTACAACTATAATACTTGTATTTTCTCGAGGTTTCACTTTCCTACAATATCAACTAAAGAAATCAGAGGTTTAAAATTTTCGGGGAAACTAAGTTCAAACAAGGATTAAGAGTCAAGAACGGGATAACGAATCGTCTTTTTTCTCTAATATTTTTATGAGACGCCAAAGCTTCCTCGCTTTGCGCGGGAGGGGGGGGGGACTTCATTCAGACAAGGATTAAGTCGAGAACGGTACAACGCATCGTCTTCTTTCTCCAATAGTTTAAGGAAACGTCAAAGCTTCCGCGCTTCGCGCGACAGGGGGGGGGGGATCGAGCTGTATTCAGACAATTAGGGTTAAGAGTCGCGAACGGTACAACGAATCGTCTACTTCCTATAATAATTCAATGAAACGTCTACGCTTTCGCCCTTCGCGCGGGAGGCCCTTCACCTACCCCTAGGGAGCGCGCTTGCTCACTACCCCCCCCCCCCTAAAATAAGATCCTAGCTTCGCGGGGGGGGGGGGTTAGGGGTGCTTACAAGGTGCATCACATGCGAAGAGGACGGTATGTAAGGGGTCTATTACCTTCTCTTCACATTACCTCTTTCTCCCTCCCCCTTTACACCATCTTTAATCGCGGGAAGGGTTGCTTGGTTCCGTGTTTCCATGCAGTAGCTCTATGCATGGTTAGAAATCTATACATTTTTGATCTCCTGTGATATGATATTTTTGATTTTTAATGAAGGAATAAAAAGACACCCATATGGTAGGCACTATGGGGGGTGCTTCTACGACTAACACCGTACATGTGTCATTGATTCCTTACTATGTTGTTGTCTTTATATAATTATCTTTAACATTGTTTTTATTAGTTATTTCAAAAATGAATATTACTAAGAGCACTTTTTTTTTTGGGGGGGGGGGGGGGTATACGGTACGGTTTGACGGGAGGTTTTTTCATAAACCGGGAGCCTTCTACATCGTTGGCGGGAGAGCGGGAGGATCGAAGGCGTGGTGGCGGGAGTCTCCCGCTACGAGCTTTTTGGGGCAGCGGGAGAATGAGCGTGGTGGCGTGAGACTCGATCCCTCCAAATGCGGGAGGGTTGGCAGCCCTGAATAAAACCAAGCTTTGTTTTGGAGTATGCAGTTTGGCATTCTTAATTGCTACATAGGCCATTGGCTGTTTCGTAAAACCTTACTGAGCATAGTTGGCAACTTTATTTGTCAATTAAAGTTTTAGAAACTCATATAGTTGAGTTCTGTTGCATAGCTGCGCTACACAAAATAGTTTTTTTGTGAGATAATGAAAAACCGAGTGTCAAATTTGAAAGAACATATACAATTTAAATACAAAATCATCTTTGTTTGATCAAAATCGGTTCAGAGACGACTGAAATATCCATAAATATAACGATTTCTAATACTTGTGTAGGCTACCACCACAAATATTCGATAACTTGAAAAAGACGTTGAAAAAAACCGAAATAGTGCCTTTTACGTCGTATTTCAGCTAATGCCGATGTTGGCTTTTTTGTGTTGGTTAGATATAATAACGCACAACCAGCCGGCCCATGTATTGTCATTTGGTCACCGTATTTTTTTGAAAGTGGAGCTGAATTGGTATGATCGTATTGACTAAATTTCCCACATTTTGGGGTCTAAAATTACCTTCCTTGCATTTTTAGGTCCTAAAAGGACACTAGAAATGTCATAGATAAGAATAAAAGCAATAACCATGCACTTTGAAGGCATTTGAAGGTCTGAAAACAGAACTCAACTATCCCTGTATGTCTTGAAAGATAGAAACACAACACTCCTAAGTAAAATGTTATAAAGGGTTTAACAAAGGGTTGATTTGAGAACTGCTCCTATCTTTACACATGGGGTCCAGGGGCTTGCCTTAGAGCCCCTGTCAGGTCAAAGGGGGAAAGCCCTACCAGGGGCCCGGAAGACGGTGCCCCCGGATGCTGTCGAGTGTTAGCAATTCAGAATGTTCAAGATAGCCGTCTTGAGCGAAAAAAAACTCTAATCTATGCCTTGAAATTTGCACTGCCCCTATTGGTTCATTTTTTTGGATATCATTTCCCTCCTCACACGCACACACACTCTCTCTCTCACACGCACACACACTCTCTCTCTCACACACGCACACACTCTCTCACACACACACACACACTCACGCATTCTCACATCAGGGCCTTTGTGGGGCACCTGATTGTGGGGTATTTCTGTGCGTTCCAGATATACCTTGTGGTCCCCTACTAGTGGGGTATGTACAACCTGGCGATAACAACCCGGCGGTGTGCTTACGATGTTACCATAAAAAAGTGTGCAAGTTTTAGCACACGCTCACAAAAAGTCATTTATGGGGTACCACTTCTAATGCCCCGCAGGGCATAGGACACCGAATATACAGTCATTTGAAAGACTTTACTCTGTGGGGTCCTGAAAAAATACCCAAAAAAGTAAAAATGCCTCACAAGGGGTATGTGAAGCGCACATAAAACCCCACAAGAATGCCGAGGTGAGAGCTCTCTCTCTCACACACACACTATCTCTCTCACACGCACACACAGTATCTCTCTCTCTCACACACACACTATCTCTCTCACACGCACACACACTCTCTCTCACATGCACACACACTCTCTCTCTCACACACACACACACACACACTCTCTCTCTCTCACATGCACACACACTCTCTCTCTCACACGCACACAAACACTCTCTCTCACTCACTCTGTCCCATGTGTATCCATTACTTTCACTTACACCACTTTATCTTTTTCATCAGCTTTCAATTTCTCTCCATATTTTGCTCCTTCACTCTTTCTTCGGTCTTACTACACTCTCCTGATCTCTATCTACCTTTATTTTCTTCCAGCATTTATGATTTTCTGTTTTCCCATACATTTTTGCTATCCACTCTTTCCATCTCCCTTTCTCCCTTGCTCTCTACCCCCCCCCCCCCCTCTCTCTCTCTCTCTCTCTCTTTCCCCTCCTTCCTCCCTCAACCCTCCCAATTTATTTTTTTTTAACTTCTAATTTTCCGTCTCAATCTCCACCTCTTTCATTGACTTGCAAATTTCCTTCTCACTCACAGTCACTACCCCTCCCTTCTATTCTAATAATTGTAAAAACAGAAACACAAAGATGTGTAGTGAATACCAAGAATACTATGCTTTATCATGCCATATACATGTATTACTCATATTTTTACAAGAATATGAAGACTAAATCTCAAATACTGGTACATGAATAAAAAAAAAATACTGAGTTTTACTTTCAAAAAGCAGAACAAAATGATGGCAAGAATTTCTGTAGGGGCTAGTTATGTAACGGCAGCCATAGAATCAAACCTAACCAAGAAGTGTCACTCAATAATACAATATAACATGAATATAAGATTAATATAGCAGGTCCCCCAAAAAATTATTAATCTTTCTTTGAGAAATACAAGCATAGATGTTGCATCTTTTTTTTCGACCACTGGAAGGGGGAAGTGCTGATGTTTTATCACAACTAGAATGTTATAATCATAGATACTGACATACCTCTAGAGGGATTTTTTCTTAAGACACTGTGGAGAGTTTCTTCAAATATTCAAGATCAATGAAAATAAGGCTGGTACGATCAAGAGGTATTCCTTACGTTAACAAATCAATTACTCCAATCTGAGATTAGACAAACTTATAATCCCATATATTGCCATTATCATTAAATTCAAAAATATTAACGCATTTGCCTAAATCCCTGATATTACAACTTGGAAGACAGCAAATAGAAGCAACGTAAATCATCACTTCCCAATACAGAAATCTTTGAAGATGACATCAAGCACCTCCTCAGTGGTCACATGACCCGTTATCTTCCCGAGCTGCCGCAGGGCGATCCTCAGCTCCTCCGCGGCCATGACAAGATCGTCCCGACTTTCAAAGGATTGCAGAGAGAGGGCGCACTCTGTGAGATGGTTGCGATGGCGCTCTTGGGTCAGGTACGGGTCCGAAGATGTAGGATTGCTGCACCTAAAAGGAAGGGGGGGGGGATATGACATAAATAAGAGGAGACAAGAAAACCGAGTGTGTTGCTCTACAGAAGCATGCTAGATATAAGGCACATGTTTATCAAAGTGATTTGATAAACAATTCATTGAAGCTAAAGAGATTAATGCTTTAAGGGCAAGAAATAATACTGTTGTCAAATGAAAAATAGATGTTTGTTTGCATTACCAGTATCAGGGGTGATAGTGAGCACTAAAAAAAAAATAGGTGTTTTGTTTTCCCCTAAACCAAGCCCCCCTTGAGTAAAAAAAAAGAAGAAAATGGCATCTAACGACATTCCCCCCTTTTGAGTAGGAAAATTGGGTAAAAAATAGGGCAAAATAGGGAAGAATAGAAAAAATAAGGGGGAAATCAGGAAGAAAAGAAAAAATCAGGAAACCGATTTAAATCAGGTTTTTATCAGGCCTGCTGTATAAAGAATGTCAAAGAAACAAATGAAGACACGTTTGGGGATAAGGTGAAAATAATATTAGTGAATTCCAGAAAAAAAAGAACAATTTTTTTTCTTTCAACAGACATTTTGAAACCACAAAGCTACCCTTATCTATTCACTTCAGCTGGGATCAACACTAAACTGGCACCTTGGACTCATGGGCACTAAGTATCTACGCCCCGGCCCCCCCCCCCACTCCGAGAACGGACAGACCTCATGCGTGTTGCCAAAATGTCCTTTTCGTAACAAAAGAAAAAGGTCGACCCGTATTGACTTTACACACCGGACTTTTGCTGAAAAGGGGGGTGCTGAAAAAGGCTTGTATACAAAAGAAAAAGGTCGAGCCATACTGACTTTACACACCGGACTTTTGCTGAAAAGGGGGGGGTCGGTTGGAACACGCATATGCGTACCCTAAATAACACTGAGTGGGGGGGGTCGGGATCTACGCCCGGACCCTGAAAATATTGAAATTTTTATATTAGTCTCACGCATACAGATGGAAAAAATTAAATCGAAACACTCTTCCCCCAAAACTAGTGTAAAGCCCTGACTAAAGGATGGAATTTTCACATCCAGAGCATTTAAATTCTTACATCTTCTTTAATTTTTCTTGTAGCAAGTCAAGGAATCCATCCATCCCTTCCTCTGTTTTACAGGACACAGGCAGGACACTCTGCCTTTCCCTCTCTCCGTTGCCCCGTCGCATCAAGACATCAGGCATGACGGAAAGCAGCATGGTCTTAGACTCTCCATCCACCAGATCCATTTTATTGACCATCACAATCACGTCCCTTTGATCCCCATCATTGTCATTGCTTACAGGACTGTTCTCATTGCTTACAGGGCTGTTCTCATTGTTTACGGGAGTGTTCTCATCACATAGTCTAGGAGTTCTGTTCTCCCAGAGTTTGGATTGTGTCACATAGGAATCAATCTGCTCTAGGAAGGCCTTGGGGGATGGTTGAGGATCGAGTGTTGTTGCATCCAGCATGTAGATGACAAGGTCAGCGAGGTTTGTTCTGTGTAGCAAGGGTCAGTGAGAAGAATCAAATTATCATAATGCACCTAAATGATTTCATAATCTAGCTGAATGAAAAGAGATGTTAAATTATCACTTTACTGGAACTAAAATTATTTATTAAAAAAAGAACAACCCAAGTAATCACTGATGCTGACATATCACTGAAAATAATAAAGTTTAAATAATTAAATAATCCAACCAAATGTCAAGATGGTTTATTTGTTATAAATTATGCTCTGTATTGTGGAAATGAAATATAATACAGTACTGCAAAACCCCCCCCAAAAAAAAAAAATAAAAAATAAAAATAAAATAAATAAATAAATAAATAAATAAAAAAATAATAATAAAAAATAAATAAAAATTTAAAAAAATAAATAAATAAATTTAAAAAAATTTAAAAAAATTAAAATTATAAACAGCACTTTTTGTGGCAAGGCAATTTTCCCAATCACTCATATCTAATGGGTTTGAAATGTTTAGTCACCTTTGTTTTTGATAGATTAGTGATACATAACATCATCTGAGCAGCAGCGAACCAATATGATTGGCCTATTTGGGACTCTCCGTACATGGACTGCTGGTGTGAACAGCTGTCAACAATAAAAGATACCTGGACTGGCTATTGGTCGCAATTACACAATATATACCCAGCAAAAATTGAATCAATTAAATTTTAATATTCTTTGGCATGAAACTCTGGTGACTCTTGACCTCTTGCAAAATTGGGGAAAAATTATATGCACACAAAATGTTTGGTTCTACAGCACCTCACAAGTGAAAAATGAATTAAGAAGACATTGTAGTAAACAGGGCCTTGTTTCACAAAACCAGCAAAAGTACAAAGTCACCAACATCCCATTGAAACACAAATTCACTGCATGCATTTCAACGGGTTGTCAGCGAACTTATACTTACGACTGTTTCATGAAACGCTGTGTACCTCTCTCTGGCCCTACGCACTCCTTCCCTCTCTATCTCATCTAAGCTCTCCCGTATCCCAGCAGTGTCACTGAGGATGACAGGGTATCCGCCAATGTTGAGAGACGATTCCACCACATCCCTGGTCGTTCCAGCGATGGGTGAGACGATGGCTGCAGGGCGTTGACCTGCTCAAAGGTCACATTGGAGCAGAGGGTCAAATCAAGATACCGATCACTTCAAAGCCAATTTCCTTATACATGTATTAGCTTTCATATGGCATCACAGGGCTCAACATTACCAAGCGCCTGACGCAAATGGGCACCCAATATGTAAGTCCCGACCCCCAAAGTTCAACTTTTTATCATAGGCCTCATGCACACAGACTCTAAAAAGGTAATCCGGACCCTCTTCCCACAATCTTGGTGTGGAACCAGCTCTGAATATGCTCTCCGGAACCAAAACAAGACAAAGTTTTTGTCTAAGACTAACACACTTAATGATTTTACTAAGTAAGTTAAAATAAAAGTACTCTGAATTTCCAGAAATACAGAAACAAATTTTGATGTTTTTGACATTTTAGTTTAAAAAAACACTGAAAAGCAATTATGTAATGCAAGTTTCACTTACAAAGTGCATTGAGTAGTGTACTCTTCCCAACATTGGGTTGGCCAGCTATGGTGACGTGGACACCACTCCTTAACCTTTCACCTTTCCTGCTGTCTTGTAGATGTCGTCTAACTTCGGTCAAAAGTTGCTCAACCTCCTGCCTGGCTATGGTGACAAAGAATGGAGTTTGAATGAGACATACAAATCCACAAAATTGAAATTTTAGCTAATAATGATTATTATTACATATCATTATCATTATTTATCATTACAGTTATTATCATTATTACCATCATCATCAACTTTATTATTACTGTTATTCCTATTATTATTAGAAGAAGAGTTGCACAGGAATATATTGCACTTTTTATGCATTTTATGTCAATGTGTTTAGAAGAATAGAGGAATCTAAGATTAAGATTACCGGTAGTTTGACATCTGAAAAAGGAGGAATCATTTCTCAAAAAATAATTGGCAAACTATATTACAGGCCAGTGTTAGACTCAAGTATGGAGTTCGGTCAAGTGTTAGGAATTCTTTAGGTGTATCATACTGAATGTGGAGCAATTGTTGATGGAACATATTTAAAGGCAATACAAAGTTTTGGTATTAGGTCATGAATTGGGTTCAAGTGAACATATTAGAAGCATATGCGATCCTACAATATTCAGTAATCGTTGTAGTGGTTGAAATCGAATATAAAGTTATGAAATTGTAAATAATAAATTCTTTATGTTGTATAGCTCCCTCTCAACAATGTTTTTTGACTAAAATCGACAGATTAGCCATTCCTGTTTGGAAATTATATATCACAGCTACATATTCTGAGAATTTCATGGTCGCAGCTACCATTGTACAGTCATAGGCGCTATTTGAAATTTATCAAAATTTACCGGGAGCACCAGTAAATTTTTTAATTCAAATTTTCTCGAAAGCAGAAGTATTTTAGAGGCTAAATTTTCTAGTGCTTATAACACATCCACAGGGGCATCCAAATATATCAAAATTGTAAAGATCACTGCCACTCAATGTTCAAATTTCTCAAAACTTTGTATGACCTTTAAGATTAAGATATTTAAGATTAACATAAAAACGTGATCATCTTACCCTCTTCTAAGACACCTTCCTCTATGTTTTCATCCTCACTAAAGTCAATAAATGCCTCAACGTGTGCTACCGTCTGTAAGAATTTCAAAAGGAAACAGTTTGCAGGTGCCTTGAGCATCCCAGGAGATGAATATATGCATGATATCAATATTACTATCATCAATAAATGAAATGGAATTTGACATAAAACAACTCTCCTCTTTTAATCTTACGAGGAAGACAGAAATCACCTGGAATGGTCTTTTCGTTCTAGAGGACCTGCTATCCATAATATATTTCTAGTAGTGGCTCAAGGAAGAACATAAGGCACTTTGGAGAAAAACAGAAATTAATGAAATTGTGTAAATGACAAACAGAAGAGTTTTCCATAAATACATCACAATCCACTGACAAAATTGTCAATTTGAGGTTCCAATAGCTTTCATTATCTCATATTTCAAACATTCCTAACTCTCTTATTATTTCAAACTTTTCCCTTCTGTTTCTTTTAAAGCCTGTCTGCACTAGTTTGGCCGGGAGGGATTATACCTCCCTGCTTGGTCACTGACAGGTGGTTATCTCATCAAATCAGCTCTCAATTAACATAAGAAAACGGGGATCATGGGGGATCAACGAGTACCGCTTAGGCTATATAGATGCACAAGTAGCTACAAGTAGTGCGGTCCCACTTTACTTTGTCTGCTTTCTTACAAATGAACAAAGAATGGATTGCCCTTTAAACTGCTCTGCATACATACCCTGATCAGCCTGCCTCTCCACCCTTCATACAGTTTACTCAGGACTCCAGACATCTGACGTACAGCTTGTTGTCTCTGGGCTTCAGTCTCTGCCTGTATAAGGTCACCAAGACCTTCTACTTCTGTAAGGTCAAGCTTGCCATTATAGAATGCTCTGTAGTTTGAAGAAGAAGAAAACAATTCTAGATAGGCCTATACACTTGTAGTATTTCAACATTGTGATATTTATTAAACAAAACAAAAAATACAAAATTCAAGAATACTCTTTCAACAAAATTTGGAATGGACTTTAAAAGATTATTATTATTATTATTATTATTATTATTATTATTAAAGCATAATAAAAAATAAAATTGAAAAAATAAAAATCTGAAAGCATGATAAATTGTAAAAAATGGTGCATCTTGCTATGGACTATTTGGACTGTGGATTGGTTATTGTGATTCTAACCAGAAAAAAACTAACACCACCCAGGCTTTAGGTGTTCTTCTTGTCTGTGCCACTTTTTGTCATTGTACTTATAGATAGATAGAAAGTACAGAAAAAGAACAAAGGTCGGTCCAAGACAATGCAGCAAATGAAATTTGATTTCCTCAAATCATTCAAAGGCAAGAGTATCTGTTAAATGCATGTGTATTGCCACAACAAAAACTATCATGCACAATGATTTTTGATGTCCGTTTTACCTCTTTGAGAACTCGCCAGGTTCCGCCAGATGAAATCCATCAAGCTTTCCTAGTGCCCCATAGAGGGCAGCAATTACTGCTGGTCCCCCATGGACTTGAAGCTCACACACATCTTCTCCTGTAAAACTCTTTGGACCTGAACACAGTAGAAGAAAATATACATGGGGGTAAATTATTAGACTTCAACAGAGCCCTCAGTTTAATCACTTTATTCAATGTGAATTTTGACCAGCACCTTCAAAGGCAAACCATACAAAGGAGTCACAAAAGAGAATTGTATAATAAGTTAATATAAGATCCATGTTCCAGGGAATAATTTTCCTGGTATCGCATCGCAATTTGCTATGCATTTTTGCATGACTGCTATACAAAATAGCTTTTGTGTAGCAGTTTTCTTCCATAGAAATGTACAGAATTTCATTTGAAATATTTATCCATCGGCTGAAATTGCTAATCAAAAAATTTGAGGAAAATTATTCCCTGATGTTCACTTTAGAACTACTCATATTCCAGGAGTACCAAAGCATATATTGATTTGCAATCAAGAAACAAACTTTGGGGAAGGGGGGCTTGAAACAAAACAAAAAAAATTGGGAGAAGGGGAGCTTGGGTTGGGCTTGGATCTTCTTGCATTCATTTATTTTAGTAGAAGTACAAAAGGATGAGGTGGCTAATTATCTAAGCAGACATAAATACAAGTAAGAATAAGATCCTGAATGAAGAAAGTTATTCATTAACGAAATAACGTACCAGTAAACCACAGAATCAGCCCATGGTCGATTAATTCATTTGTTGTGGGATCATAAATTGGTGACAAAACTGCTTGTCTGGTTCCAATTGCCCTCTTGCTTGGAATCATTTTATCAAAGACCACCTTCGCTTGAGGGCCTGAAACTCTCACAACTGCAACTCCACATTTTCCATGTCCACTTGCCAAAGCAAAAATTGTTCTTTGATTTTCAGCTGATGGAGAGGATGAAGAATAACACTTGTATTTGTTATCTTTAAATTGAATGTTATCAGCTCTGATATTTCTTAGTTTGTGGGGAATTCGATGTCCCGGTGAAGAAGAATTCCGCTTGAAAAGACAACTATGTTGACATGGTTGAGAAGAAGATCGGCTGCTCCTGCAAAATCTAGCGACTGATGCAGCGACAGCGGGTACCTCGAGATAACGCAGCCGACTAGCTGGGCAGAGAATGCCAGCAGCGATCCGTTCGATTCCATGCGGCATTTTAATCGTCAGTATGTAGCACTTTCTGGTGATGATAACAAGCTCTGCGGACCTTGAATATTAATGAAATAATAAGAACAGAATTTCGGTTAAGATCTACAATACTATTATTTAAAACTCATTAGAAATAATTTGTTATTACAATAAATTGATGGACATTAAACTTACCAATTACTTCCACGGCCGGACGTCAGACTACATTCCCACAGAGCTTCAATTTCGCAGATCACACACTTACTAGACTATGCACGTATAAATTGTAGTAACATGTCGATATTTTCTGTACTGTTGTTGATTGAGATTTTACTTGGATATATTGAGGGAGGGGAGATGGTATCCCTGGATATGTAGTGTTTACAGTTTATGTTTGTCTACAATTTTGGAAACGGTTTGAACAAGTACTGGAGAAGTGAACCTGCAATGTAAAAATTCGACATTAATCCACCCGGTCATGATTCAGCCACGAAGAAGGAATTTGGAACTGAATCCCCTGCACAATTAATGCGAGTGACGTGAACTACGGAAGTGGGTAGACTCAAATGTCTTGTCACAGCTAGGGTCTATGCGGCAACGCACATCATGCAAGCGGGAATCTCAAATAACATCAACACCGTGCGGCGAATGCAGTTTTTTTTTAAGTTACAGGATCAGGCAGGAGACCTATCATTTTAACAGTTAAATAATATGGACTTGGGGAAATGGCTTCCAAGCTTTTGAAAGCTCAATGTTTACTGCAGACGATCAATGATGACAATATCAGGTTTGTTGGTTGAACTGTCTTGAACCTTGATTTGTGGGCAGCATGCAGCATGACACCAGCGGAGGCGGAGCCCTTGGCCGTCGCTTCGGGGTCGATTAGACCTAGATCTAGATCTGGTTTGATGGGCTTGTATAAGGTATAGACCTACTAGCCCCGCTGGAGTTGTGATTGGCAATGCCAAATATGAACATGAATTACATGATAATAGAGTCTAGGCCTAATACCGTAATAATCGTTGTTGTTGTTGTTGTTGTTGCGATTAATGGTGTTTCCATCATCGTTCAATGATTTCCGCCAGGCAATGTGAGAGGGCGTAGCCGTAGTTACTCTCTTATTATTTTACTGTTCGATGGACGATAGCCTAGCTAGTAGCGTTGTGTTGTGCAATTAACAATGTCAGTAAATTGTTAGTAGTTATTTTCTGTATTGTTATTCGGCTTGTTATTTTAAAGAATTCATTAGGAAAGAAAGGATGAAGTGGTTGAATATTTATTAGTTGCGATCAGTCCATTACGTTAGGACGTTAGTTTGGAGCCTCTCTCCGAGTCTGTATAATGAAGCAATTTATACAATTCATACAATGAAGCAAATTTATACCGAGGTTGTACCACTGTCACGAATAGATAATACAGCAAAACATAATTAATACTCAATTAATACGTAATTAATGTTTATAGCTGAGCATCACAGTTCATTGTACCTTCCACTGCCTTTTAAAAAAGCTACCACCTTTCCTATATTCCTCATTTCCTAGTAAGTGACCTAGATTTGGATTTTGGGTCTTTAGTGCTCTGTACATTCTCCTTCGTTGTCTTTCATATTTTGGACATGACAATAAAAAAGTGTTCAATTGTATCTATCGTTTGGCATTCTACACATAGATCTAGTCCAGTGTCGTGTTTTCTAATTAAATATTTATAGTAATTCAGGTTACATTTACCAAGCCTGAATTGGTGGATTAATCTTTCATCCTTTTGGTTCAAACCTTTGATTTTTAAAACATTATTTATATAATATTGGATTCTTGGATATTGGATAATATTGGATTCTTATATAGCGCATGTATCGACCTTGCAAGGTCCTCAAGGCGCTCCAACATTACATGCTAGGCTGCCAATTTCGACGCTCAGTCACACTCACAGCATTTAAGGAATTCCTACTGGTACCCGGGTGGAGAGTGGCAAGTGTAGATTAATGTCTTGCCAAAGGACGTGCCGCAATATATATATATGGGTAATATTTAGGGCTGAATCTGCCATTATTGAAATAAAATATTAGATAATTTGCTTGTATTTATAATCAAATGTTACATTTCACATTTGTGATAATTAATGGGCATTGAATCTTGGCCTTGGTCTTGGTTTCCTATTTTACTATTTTATTTTTAGTTTCTCATGCAACTCTTCTTTCTTTCTTCTTCTTTTTTCCTACTTTGCAGCCAGGCAGAAACATTGCTGAAAGAAGGAGCATGTCCAAATCTGCTTCTTCCTGCCGAGGGTGTGAGTCCCTTTCATCTTGCTGTGGGCTGTGATTCTCGCCATGCTTTACAGCTTACCACGCTCTTTCTCCAACACAATGCAGACCCTAATGTCAGGTAAGCTAAGCAAAGCGCCTAATGTCAATGATCTGATGATCATGCTGAATTAACACTTCTAGGACTGTGCATTGTTTATGTTTGTATTTTAAAAAAGCCTTCGTCATAAACATTATATAATTTTTTGACATGGTCCGTTGAGAATATGTAAAATGAGAAAATATTGGTATAATACTATAGGGTACTCCAGTTTAAACATAGTCTACATGTCTGTATGAAAGACAGATGCTCACTTGATATGACTTAAGCCCGAAGAGAGATGGAAATGATTTTAACCTGATGATCGATGAACAGGCATTGCCCTACAAGCATCGATGGATTAAAGTAAAGTAAAGTAAGTAAAGAATCATTTTTGTAAGTCATATTTTTTTTTCCTAACAGATCGACCGAGGGTTTGACTCCTGTCCATGTAGCTGCATCATGGGGCAGGTTCCAAGCTCTGGAGCTCCTCCTGTGGAACGGGGGTGACCCCTCCCTGGAAGATGAGGAGGGTCAAACGGCCAGGAACATGGCCGAGAGCAGTGGTCATTGGGACTGCATCAACCTTCTAGATACATGGGTGGACGGTCAATATGAAGAAGAAGAAGAAAAGGAGGAGGATGGAGGAAGTTTCTTGGAAATTCCACTTGCTTTACAGGGTGACACCAATGGTACATTTTCATTATTATTATTATTTCATGAAAGGAAATATACATTGTTATTCTACATATGTAGTTCAATGAAATTTCTTTGAAATAGCTGAGAATCACCTTCATGAGTTTGAGAATGATGTAAACCATATGCTTTTTATATGTTACATATCGTCGGTGGGGTGACAAAACCTTGTATCTCAATTTTTTGAGATTTTGATTTTTTTGCATAATTGTGTACCTAATGGCCTACACCATCTGATAAATCCATGGAACGCCTCCTGTCTCGTTTTTTTCACAAATTCTACACAAAGGACGGTGTCACAGCACTAAGTCTGTTGAGACAGGAAAAAAAAATTCCGCTCTCCTGAAAATTTTTGAGATACGAGGTTTTGTCACCCCACCGACGATATGATTAAGAAATGTCTTTACACCAAAGAGTTATGTCATGCACTTTTAGAAGCATAGCAAATATGGTAGGGAGTGTAATTGCAGTGTTTCTTTTTCTCACCTTTTTAATCCATTTCTGCATTTTAGATATCTGTGGTTCTCCTAGCTATCTGCCCGATCATGAAATGTTGAATGACCTGTCACCTGACAAACATGGCCGCCTCAATAACAATTACAATGCTGGTTACAGCTGGAGCCCAGGCTCCGCCTCCAGCTCCACAGACAACGAGTTCAATTTTCAAGGTGTGGAGGAGGGTGACACTGACCATGATCTAGAGGACTATGAGATATCTTTCCCAAAGCAACGCGTGCCAAGCTTCTCACCAAGTCATGATCGTCCACAAAGTGTGCAGTCAACGTACGAAGAGACCTCCTTGAACCTTGCCTTGCAGTCCATGAACCTTGACAACTACAGCCTGTCATCCAGTGCGTCCAACAGGTCATCATCATCATCATCTGCAGTATCCCCATTTTCGGTAAAGACCAGTCCCAGTCAAAGTGATGTACATTCTGAAGGAGAGGGCAGCCCATCAGCCAATGAGCACACATTGACAGGCTTTGGATTAGATGTGACCTCTCCAGATCATACCGTTGTATTTTCTAAGGCTACATGTACGGCTAAGGACAGGAGGAGAACGGTATTCTGTCCTCTGAAATACCCCAGCTTTGAATTTGAGAAATGGGAGACCTCTATGTCACCAAATTCTATAGCTGAAAGCGATTTAAGCGAAGAAGAACAAAGAGAGGCCTCTTTGTCACCAAATTCTACAGCTGAAAGCGCTGTAAATGAAGAGGAACGAAGGGAGGCATCTATTTCACCTCATTCCGCACCTGAAAGCAATGTAAATGAAGAGGAACAAGGAGAGACCTCTTTTTCACTGTATTATACAGCTGAAAGCGATGTAAACGAAGAGGAACAAACGGTCCCTGAAGCTTGTGAGGCATCTCCATCATCTTCTTGTACATCTAGTAGCCTGGACTCCTCTCATAGATCCAACATCTCTTCCAAATCTGTTTACTGCAACAGAAGATCAGGTGCTTCTCTGATTGAGCAGCACTTCCTTCCTGCATCTGGAAGCGAGCCATCTCTGCTCAACTTCAGCTTCGCTTCCGCAGACGACACCGTCGTCTACGACTGGACGTCTTTCAAATTGGACTCCGGTGAAGAAGAGGTGCCTCATAGGCTGGAGATTCCGCCAGAACTTGCCAAGTTGACAAACGATGAACTGAAGCTCAAGCTCAGTGCCCACGGTGAGGATGTTGGACCAGTGACTGCCACCACAAGGTCCGTCTATCTCAGTTTTCTTGTGAGGCTAATGCAGGATGATGGTAACACACTGAGAAGATTAAAGCAGAAGCAAGATTCAGGCAATAGCAGTAAGTGTACATGGTCTTTCTTACTGTAAAACCAGAATCTTTCGCAGATTGTTCATGATGGATTTTGATGGTGCACAAAAAGTTTTGCGCGTCTTCGAACAGTCATGAAAGTTTTGATGCATGCAATATTATTTTGTTATACAGTACCCTTTTGTTTTTTACTCCTTTCTACTTTTTTCTAGTGGTGGAGGAAAGATAGTGTTTTCCAGCTAGTGACAAGAGTATTCACCCATTTCGTTGTTTCCAGTTTCATTCATATTTGTACAATTACTTGAGAAATTTTGAAGGGATTCATTTAAGTATGTGTAGTTTATTGGAGGTATGATTTTCATATTGATGCTCAATGAAACTGTTGAAATTTATCAAGAAGAAAAATAAAGTATGGATGTTGTGTTTTAAATTCCTGCCACTCAGATTTTCAGTATGAGCTCGCTGAGATCCTAAATGAAACCAAGCCCTTACCAGACGTCCATGAACTTGAGAAGCAAATGGTGGAACAGTTTCAGGAGCCTGACCCAAAGAGGAAATGGAGAGAGGGCAAGCTGAAATCTTCCTTCAATTACCTTCTACTTGACCCCCGTGTCACAAGGGACCTCCCCAGCAGGTGAGTGGTCAATCACCCAATATTCCCTCCTTGACCATAGACAGTAATTGACCACAGTCAGTGATAGACCATAGACAGCAATTGACCACTTTGGGTTAGAGTTGTAATTAGTGCTGTAGCCAAACCCGAACATGGTGTTAGAGTGAGCTATAATGTCGGCTCCAGGTTTTATGGTAACAATTTTGTTTGTGTAGGAAATTGATGTGGAGTAATTGTCGCAAGGTAAGTCTCATACAACGTAGTGGCCATCAGAGGCCATTTACAATGGCCATTCTTTGAAAGGTGAACCCAATTTCTCACATGTGAACAGTGTTGTATGATTAATGGCCGGAAAGCGAAACAGTGATGTAGATCGAGACCAGGGCTCTGAATTCATTTCACCTTTTGTGTGCTTTTAACTCCCTTTCGAGATGAAATAAGTTCCTGTACATAAAATTCTGCCAATGAAGAAGAAAAGGAAAGCTTATTCATTTAGACCATTCAGATCATATCCTAATCATATCGTCTCAGGATGATGCATTTTGTTGATAAGATGTAATTATTCTTAAGTACACTAGCTGCTTGTGGCATCTTCCAACTTCAAAATGGCCTGTCTAACCTAAAAGAGACAAAATGCTTCAGAATGGAATTTTTTTCCATGGGTTAAATCCTGAGTTATCTCAGGCTTAGCATGCAACAGGTAACCAGGCCTCATTTTGGAAACGTTTAGCTGGAGAACAACAGGTAGTCATTTTGAGTGTCTAGACTCTACAAAGATAAAATTATTTAACAACATCATCACTCTCTATCTGTTGTGAATATGCCAATTTCTTTTTTGAATGTCTTCAGCAGTTATGATATCACAAAATGCTATTTTTTGTCATTTTTTTTCTTCTCCAGATATCCAAAACTCACACAGCTGGAGACATTCAAGACCTTTGTATCAGGTATCTTTTATGTGGGCAAGGGTAAGAGGTCGCGACCCTATGCTCACTTTGAAGAAGCTCTGGACCATCTCAAGAAGAAGAGGACCAAGAAGGTAAAATTAACAACTTTAAAGGGACGATCTGCTGTTTAATAAAAGTAGTAAATTTAGAGAAACTGATCAATGAAAATTTGAGCGAAATCCAATGGAAAATAAGAACGTTATGAATTTTTGAAGCTGCACTAAAAAATGAAACACAATCATCAACTCTACAACAGTTTGCAAGGTCCTTTCCCACTTGCTCTTAACAGAAAAAAAATGTCTTGGTTATTAATGAAAGAATAGATTTGTTTCATGCAGGAGTGGTATGATAAAACATACTAGTAAGGACTACATCTAGAGTGCATGTATGAATGACATTTATAAATTTTATAGTACTGCCGAAATGGGAGCTAGGGGAACCCGCAAGATACATCACAGAGTTGGCAATATGTATTTGATTGATTGTTTCTTATAACATTCATAAATTATTTTTGTTTTGGATAATTTGGCTGCTTCTATTGAAATCAACTTCACATGTGGATGGACTTCCCCTTTAAAGCCCCATTGCACTACTTGCGCCCCCTATATAGCAAACAATACCTAATTGGTGCCTGTTGGTCCCCATGATCCCCTTTTTCTTATTTTAATTGAGAGCTGATTTGATGAGATAACCACCTGTCAGTTACATTGCAGGGAGGTCTAATCCCTCCTGGCCAAACTAGTGCAGACGGGCTTTAAAGATACACCAAGAAGTTGCGTAAATTGCCAACTTGTGTAAGAAACTTTACACCTTGGGTGGTATTCTGAACATTGTTGTAAGTTTTGTGTTATCTTTTGTTGTATCTTCCAGAGATAACACAGCGCTAATATTGTTGTAAGTTGGTATTCTGAACATTGTTTTATCCCTGTGTTATCTCTTGAAGGACCGCCTCTATCTTATCTTTGACCATTGATGACACGCCCATTTTTATGGACCCTACCAATCAAAATCTATTTTATATAAGCATGATAAGTAGATCAACCAATAGGAATACTTTATGCCATATCTGAAGATGCGCCTAGCGCATACCAATCTTGGGCGTAATTAGTTATTTGAGCACTTATTACGCGCGTCATCATTATGCGCTGTTGAATGTGGATCATGAAGACAAATCACGCTTTCACTATATTGGTTAAGATGAGAGCATTAAAATAGTCCTATCCTAGCATTTAATTTCTTAGAAAGTTCTCGTCTTTGATGTTTCCGGTCAACACATTATCTTCTTCTAACTCGTCTATTGGCACAAAGTTGGTTCTGGGCAAGAAATATTGCCGCCATTATATCACCACGAAAGATACAACAACCCCCTACCTGTTGTAAATATTGTTGTAAATACCATGCAAGATAAGATAAGATAAAAGATACAACAACTTTCAGAATACCAATTATCTCGACATATTATCTCCCGTGCGCATATGCAAATGAGGATTAAGCGCCATGTTATTACTAATAAGCACAATTACAAGCGCACCAAGCTATGAGCGCAGGCGCGGCCAATGAGATGAGAGAAAAGATACAACAAAAGATAACACAAAAGTTACAACAGTGTTCAGAATACCAACTTTATCTTATCTCCAAAGATACAACAATATTAGAGATAACACAGGGTTCAGAATACCGCCCCTTGGTGGAAACTAAAATATTCTGCAACCAATGAAGGTGGTACTGGAAGGCTAATCATGAGTTTTTCATTATTCATTTGATCCCATAATTTAAAGGTAAATAATCATTTTTACAAAAATTGATATTTCTTTCCTAAAGTAACCGCCTTTCAGACATAATTGATCTTACCGTTTCTTTATGGAGTAAATTAATTTTAATTTTTCATTTGTGTATATTCAGCCTGGCTCCAAAGTTCTTCACATCCTTGATGTTTGGTCTGGTGGAATGGGTGTTGTCTCACTGCATTGTTTTCAGAATGTTATACCAGTAGAAGCCTACACCAGAGAAGCGTGTATGATTGATGCTCTCGGTAAGGAAACCCATCTCACTTTTTATATATATATATATATATACTTGAGGTTTTTCTTTTTCGCGTTTTATTGCAGGGTTTTTTAAAAGGCGTACTGGGGAGTGTTTCAGACCAAGATCTCCTATAAGTTGGACTTAACTATGGCAGGCCGTTCATGCCACTGGTTGATCTCACCATTAATGATCTTAGATAATATTTTTTCCTTCAATAAACAACTATAAAAAAAACGTAAATTCTGTAGATTTGTGACCTTGATTTGTAAGTCCTTTGAGAGACCAATGTCAGTAAGTGGTGAGGAAACAGTGGCATAAACGGCCTGCCATAGTTTAAGTCCAACTTATTCGATCTTAGTCTTTGTGAAACACCCCCCTGGTCTTCACATATTTGTATCTTATCTCACACAGATAAGTGAGTATGCGTAAGACCACTGTTGAGCACAGCTCCTCTTTTTATCGTCTCTTGCCATTTGTTAATACATACAAAACTGGCAGTTTACCACACCTGTTTTCCTGGTGCCCCATTTAAAGCCTTTTCCCATCTCCTCTTCCCTACTTTTTTATCTTCTCTTGCCCTCTTCTTCCCCTTCCATCTCCTCTTTCCCTTCCCTTTCCCCATCTCCTTTCCTTTCCTTTCCCTTCCATTTTCCTTCTCCTCGTCCTCCTCTGCACCTTTTTTTCCCTTGTTTAATCTTTCCCCTTCCGGTTTCCTTCACTTTTCCTTTTCGGTCCCCTTCCGCAATAGTTTGATCTCATCAGCAGGGAAATATAGCACAAGCCCTGTTTCTTTTTAGATGCTAGTCTTACTTTATTTTCTATCGCATATCTGTTGGCCTTCTTCAATATCATACTTACATTTAGTCATTACTGTCTCCTGTCTGTAGCCCTTCCACATTTGTCGAACATCTTACTTTCATATTTATCTCATATCCGTAGGCATTTCCCGCTTGACCAATGCCAAGAGAGGAGACTACTACGGAGTGGCCCACAGCTGGTCTGGGTCAAAGAAAAGGAAGATAGGAGTCCATCTCCTTCACAAGGCTTGTCAGATCTTCTTGATGGAAGGGGAGAGACAAATCAGGAGCGTTGACATTACCTCTGGTCAGTGATTGATTGACCACAGTCAGTCAGTGAACACAGTCGGTGATTTACCATGGACAGTGATTGACCACAGTTAGTGAGTGAACACAGTCAGTGATTGACCATAGACAGTGATTGACCACAGTCAGTGAGTGAACACAGTCAGTGCTTGACCATAGACAGTGATTGACCACAGTCGGTGATTGACCATAGACAGTGATTGACCACAGTCGGTGATTGACCATAGACAGTGATTGACCACAGTCAGTGCTGGAACACAGTCGGTGATTATCCAAAGTCGTGATTAACCACAGACAGTAATTGACCACAGAAAGTAATTGACCAGTAAGTGCTTGACCACAGTCAGTGATTGACAGTCTGTGATTGACTATAGGCAGTAATTGACCACAGTCAGTGATTGACCACAGTCAGGGATTGACCAGTCGGCAAGTGAACACAGTCAGTGATTGACCACAGTCAGTGATTGACCATAGTCGGTGAATGACCACAGTCGGTGATTGAACACAGTTAGTGCTTGACCATAGACAGTGATTGAACACAGCCAGTGAGTGAACACAGTCAGTGATTGACCAGTCAGTGAGTGAACACAGTCAGTGATTGACCAGTCAGTGAGTGAACACAGTCAGTGATTGACCACAGTCGGTGAGTGAACACAGTGATTGACCACAGTCAGTGTGTGAACACAGTCAGTGATTGGCCATAGACAGTAATTGACCACAGTCAGTGATTGACCACAGGCAGTGATTGACCACAGTCAGTGATTGACCATAGACAGTAATTGACCACAGTCAGTGAATGAACACAGTCAGTGAATAAACACAGTCGGTGATTGACCACAGTCAGTGAATGAACACAGTCAGTGATTGAACACTTGCTTGCACACTGTAAGATAGTGTGTAATTTTTGTGGTTTCATACATTTTTACATATAATGCTTATCGATTAGCCCAGAAGATAGACATCATAACTAATAATGTAACTCGTTGTATGTGGAGTTTTGCCAGATTTTAAGTCATGTTCATTTTTCGGAACCTTGTAGTTAAGATGTATAAAGACAAGAGATGGCTTTTATTTGCTTGTTGCAATGTAAGAAGTTTTATTTTTTATATTTGATGCATGTGCAATTATTGTATTTTTTGTTTTTTATTGATGATTTTGTTTTGGAAAAGAGGGAAGAAGTTTCTTAACGTATCTTGACCAAAAGATAACCATACTGAAATGTGCCATACTCTTTAAAAAAAAATTAAAAAGTTTTATTTTATTTTATGTTTTTACTAATATTTGGTTAAGTTTAGATATTTTTATTTAAAAATACACTCAAGGAGGTCATCTCCTTTCTATGTAAATATCATGTTACAAGAAATCCAGATTTTTTGTTCTTCTTCTCCAAATCACGTCTTGCTGTGCTTGCAAACATATGTATGTGTTTCATTATTCTATCTTATGATGAAAGTGAAATTACCACAACAACAATACAAAGAGCACAACAATGTATGTTTTGCATGAGAATCCCCCTAAAAATTATGAAATTGATTTAGTTTTTGCAAAGCAGTACTAACACTCATGCCTAGAAACAGGCTGGAGAAATTAAAAAGTAGGTGCACTATTTTCTTGGACTTGGTAGTAGTAGTACCGGTACGCATTACCGGTAGTCAGAAATCACACTGTTATTAAATACATTGTAAATATTTCTTGTACATTGTTCCATACAAATTTTGCATAAACTTCTTTCATAATTGTGTTATCATGAATGAGGAAGAAAACTATGAAAGATTAATTTTCAGTACTAACTGTATTGTTCTTTTAAATGGAAGGGAGAAGTAAGACTTGTACATGTACCCACATTACTCTGTTTAATTAATAATTATGTGCCATAATTTGATGTTTTACTTCAGTATTTTCCTGTACAGTCTACTAAACATTGTTTAGTTTGTTGATAATCTTGCTTGGTACTCATATTCTTTGATCAGGAGTAAATTGTTTTTTATTACTACATGTATTACCCTTTTAGAAATGGGAAAAGAAGAACATTATGTATGCCAAGTACTCTGTATGTTTAAGGTGTTTTTTTTTACCCATTTCAAGTACTATCCTCATGCTGTATAGTGTACTAAACAGTGGAATACGATGTGTGTGTAAATTATGTGTTCCTTTATCCAAAGGAAAACTATTTTTTAATTGTACTAAATTAATTGTTTTTCCTTTTTTTTTAAAGGGAGGGAGAAGTACATGTATATGTGTAGAACATATGTATGGTTTTTGCTGCATGTATTTTGTCTCACAGAATTAGATCTTTTACTTAAGTTTGTTTCTGTACAGTGTAATAAGCTTCTTCTTTTTTTTAAGCTACTTTTTTAATTGTGTCTTCCTGAATCATATAACTATGAGAGTTGCATGTTGCAGAAAGGAATATTTTTATTGTTTTGCGCGAGAGAATCAGGTTGTTTCCTTTTCAAACCATTTTTATTTCATGAGCTTTCTTAACACTTTGACATTTAGACAAAATGCTGCCTGTTTATATGCATTGGGGCCAAATTGAAATGCTGTAATGTTCATTAGGAGAAGTACATTTCATGTGTAATGTAAATGTAGATATTGTCATTTTTTATATTCAACTGTACCTTTTTAGGGGTATAATGTAGGTGTAAGTTGACTCAAAATAAGTTGAAAATAAGATGCTATTAACATCTTGTAGTGCCATACTGAGGGAGTTAGGCAAACACATATATATTATACTCTTCACCCATTAGGGAATATCGATGCCAAAATGATGTTGTAAATACCTGTATATTATTACTACTACAGTATTCTAATCCGTGCCAAATTTGAATAAATAGTTCTTTAATAATGCTTTCATTAATATGTTTTGTGCCTGTTTATGTTTTTTTTTTTATTGAATTACTTTGAGCATGAAACAAGTAACTTTGAGATTGAAAATTCCCTTTAGGCAGGAATGATTGTAAAGGAGAGAAGTAAAAAAAAAAAAAAAAAAGAGGTAGAGAGAAGACAGAGAGAGGTCGAAGAGAGAAAATTGATTATGCCGGAAAAGAAAGAACGAAAGAGTCGACGAGTGTGATAGGAGAGAGAGTGAGGGGGCGGGGGAAAGAGCGAGATGATATACATGAGGAAGATAATTATGATTCTTGAAATATATCTTACCGAAAAATGGGTGAAAAAATTTAGGAAGAGATGAAGAGTGAACAGGATGTATTTTGTCATAATATTGATGAAGTTTCGTTCTTTAATATGCTCATCTAATAACGATCCAATCTCAGTTCATGAATCAAATTTACACTTTTATACTCGATATATTCTTTTTCCTGACCCAAAATGCATATTCTGGTGAAGTACATCGGGTTGATATATATATATATATATATTCTAATTTCAGTTTCAGTTTTCCCTCTCAATCTAATCAATTGGAAATCGAATTCATATTTAGAGCATTCAATTTAAACGAACCACACTCGCCTCGGTGAATTATCCATTTCCTCATCTAAATCGTGCCATTGTTATTACAAGCATGTTTTTAAAAGCACTAATATAATAAACCTTCAGATTCATCACCTGCTGACCTTCAATCTCTTTCCTATTATTTGTATCCGTGAATGGTCAATAAATGCATTCATTTCAAAATTATTGTGTCAGGAAGAATTCAATTAATTTTTGAAATGCTAGTAACGCAGTAACTTATATTGACATAATTAAGTCCGTTGAATTGGGGAGGGGGGACATAACGAATGTCACTTGACAAATTACCAGGGGATTCTTCTTCTTCTTCTTCTTCTTCTTCTTCTTCTTCTTCTTCTTCTTCTTCTTCTTCTTCTTCTTCTTCTTCTTCTTCTTCTTCTTCTTCTTCTTCTTCTTCTTCTTCTTCTTCTTCTTCTTCTTCTTCTTCTTCTTCTTCTTCTTCTTCTTCTTCTCTTCTTCTTCTTCTTCTTCTTCTTCTTCTTCTTCTTCTTCTTCTTCTTCTTCTTCTTCTTCTTCTTCTTCTTCTTCTTCTTCTTCTTCTTCTTCTTCTTCTCCTCCTCCTTCTTCTCCTTCTTCTTAGTATGTAAGAAACTATAAAACAGCGGTTTCCTGATAATATTTAAATGTACGCGAAGTTTCGACACCCCGTTTTTACATACGAACAGCAACGCCTGCTTGTGGCATATAATTGCTTTCTTATTAAATAGTAATTCAAGCATCGGAAGATTTGTATTACCATGATTTAAAAGTAATTTTAATTATGATAGTACCGGAAAAAATTCAACTGTTCACTGTAAGGCTAAATATAAAGCTTGAATCCATACATGCTACTTTTGTGGCATATTACACGAAATAAACGAACGCATTCATGGATAAATATAATATGATATATAAATAATAATTTCAGAAGCAACTATCCATCACAAATACCAAATATATAATGAAACTTATAAGATATCGATAACATTGACACAAGCAAGACTAATAATTTCTGATAGCACGATGAAAATAGTTGATATTATAGTTCACATGACGTACAAATAACCAAATAATTTGCAGAAGAAGACGACAAAAATAAATATTTATCAGAATAATCACTAATATTTTTGTATCTTCAAAGATAATAAATCAAATCTGTTTCGCAAATCTATAAAGTTTTCACTTTCAACTCAATTCTTTTTCTTTATGTTGTTTTTTTCCAACCACTCAATCACTTATTCTTCTGCTATACATTATCAAACTTATCGAACATAAGAAAACTATATACAGAGGAGTCGATACCTTTTCGGGTTTAATATAGAAGTCAAGATTGTTTACCTGTTTGGTCAGGAAACATTTAGTCAATTCCCAAATTATTAAGGCGCCTCCTCCCCCCCCCCCCCCCCACCTCGGATAGACGCCCCTGGCTATACATATTGTGGCACAGGCGCGTACGCAGGATTTTTTCAAGGGGGGGGGGGGGTTAACATTTATAAATCGGGCCGAAAATTTCGCAACGACTCAGCCAGCCGCTGAATAAGCGGGGGGGGGGGGGGGGGGGGGGGGGGGGGGGGGGGGGTAAGAGGACACTTTTTTTTTTTTTTTTTTGGTCTCGAAATTTGAAAATTTGACATTTTGCTTTTTTAGGTCAACCATGGGAATATTTGTTAATAAAACAAAAATAAATAAAAAATAAATAAAAGGGGGGGGTTAGAGAAATTTAGGGGGGGTTTACACACACAAAATTACCAAAGGGGGGGGTTTAACCCCCCTCCCCCCCCCCCCCCCCCTCCCCCCCCCCCTCCCCCCCCCCCCCCCCCCCCCCTGTGTACGCGCCTGTTGTGGCGTAGCGTGATTCCAGTAAATGTCCGGTTATAAGGGAAACATATCCAGTCTGAATGAAATGCTATAAAACAAGGCAACTGCATGAGGGTATGGGCTGGAGGGAGGGGGGGGGGGGCCGTCATCTGCTTTTTCCACCTTCTTGATGCCATTCGATGGGACGGGGCGTGATCATGCCCCCTTACCTATTCCACTGTGGGCGATTCCGTACGAAGTGTCCCGTACGAAAAATCACATGTGCTTATTTTCACATAATTTTCTGTCCAAATATGAAGAATCTCTGGATATGACCATCGAAAAATAATACTTTTTGGTATCACTACTTCCATATCCAGTCATATCCAGGGATTTGAATTAATAAAGAAGAACCATGGTAATCATGGGGGTTTTGGGGTCAAAATTACCATCCAACATGGTAACCATGGTATCAAACATTGAAATTCAATGAAATTATCATTGTTTGATACCATGGTTACCATGGTGAATGGTAATTTGGAGAGAAAAAAACATGGTTACCATGGTTTTTGTTTATAAGGGATGGATGAAATGTAATTGCCTGAATGTCATTTCTCGTACGCGATATTTTAATGCAGCTGGGAATCGTCTCAGGGCAGAAAACCAACCAATTACCAGGCCCTGCACGATAAGATCCTCACTACGGTAGCCCTAAACAACGGCTGAGATACGACATAGGAGATGGGATTGAGCAGGTTGTTTCCATACGTCAAGAAAGCAAAAAAGACGTAGAGCTGTATGGGCAGTCGAGGGATGATGAGACGAGAATCGATGGTCAGGAGCAAACTGATCACGCTGAAAGGGATCCAGGTCACTACGAAGGCGACGATGATGAGGGTAAGGGTTCGAGTCGCTTTGCGTGACTCGGAAGGTGATTCCACCCGCTGGCGCTGTGCGTTCGGTGTCTGCATAATAATGAAAGCACATTATAATGGTAATACAAAATCGATGAATAGTTTTGAACAAAGACATAATGACCTACTGATGAAACTTTTCATATGCCGCTATCCCTTATTTATGTAATTATGATAACAACTGCATGTAGTTCTGCATGTGTTAAAGAGATAAGGAAATGACATTCGGCCATCTCATTGCGCAGACTTATCCTGTTTCTAAATGTTGCGATCGAGTGAAGCGAACGATCGAGGGTGGTAAAAAATATGTATATAAAAGATTTAATATATATTCAAGAAACCTCGCTTTCAAATAGTAGGCAATTAGGACACCTCGTTGCTCAAAATAACATGGACGTATTCAGGAGCTTCGCTGCCAGAAAGGAAGACGCCACTATCTTTAAAATGCTATTTCCTCATGAAATTACATACTTTAGCGGTTTCTAATAATTGGTTTTCACGAAATCGACGTTATTACAAAATAATGATTTTTATTTACATATTACTAATGTTCTCTCGCGGCACTCCTAAAAATGTCTTACGGCACCTGGTTGAAAAACGCTGTCTTAGAATTCGCAGAGAAATCGTTCATTCTCGTTTCTTTGCACTGTATAGCCTAACGTTTTACCTTGATTACGGGGAATTGTTGCATTTGTTTTCGTTCTTTTATAAATCTTTAGTTCTGTCGTCTATATCAGCATACAGTGCCTATTCAAGTTCTTAAAAAGAGACCAGATTGGCGATAACATACATGTAGGACCCCAAACATCCACATATCTTTTAGAAATGGAGAAGTACCTCTTTGCTTATAATATTTACTGGGGCGTTTTATGAATACTTTGAGTTTGCCCTCTTGAAAAGATACTTCCACATGTGTGTCATCGGCAGGCGCGTACGCAGGGGGGGGGGGGGGGGGGGGTTTAGGGGGTTTAACCCCCCCCCCTTTGGTATTTTTTATGTGTTTTTTTTTGGAAGAAAACACCCCCCCCCCCCCTCCCCTCCCTTAGGTAATTTTTTTTAATTTTATTTTTATTACATTTTTTAAATAAAAAATAAAAAATAAAAAATAAAAAAATTATACCACTGGCTGACCTAAAAAAGTTGACCTTACCCCCAACGGAGCAAAATGTCAAATTATCAAATTTCGAGATGCATCTGGTCATCGGTGCATAAAAGAATACTGATTACACGACCTTCAGTTCAGTTTAACAGTTTTGTATAAATGACCTTAATTCGCCCATGCGCAGATATTATCTCCGAAATAGTTTATTATGAACAATTATTATGTAATTATAAGGATTGTAAAGATAAATAGTTACCGATATTCCGGTATTGAAACAAGCAAATGTTGTAGAAATCGGAAGACAATTCAGAAGATATCAAATTAGGCCTACCTGTTTACTCGTGGTGAATCTTTTGTCCTGAGAAGACACCGTGGTACAATGCCGCACTCCAGCTTCGGTCTCATCCTCACCCCCGTCACACCGATCTGCGCTTGGTGTGTCGTCTTCGATGATACTGGACGTTGTCTTCTCCGTGGACGCGACAGCCCTCGAGTCAAACTTCCTATTCACACTTCTTCCACCGACTGTCTTTCGGATCTGAAAAATGATTCGGGTGTAGAGAACGACGATGATGACGAAAGGCAGATGAAACTTGCAAACATTCTGGATCATATACGTGATCGGACCCTCAGAGAAGAGCGGTGTGCACTGCGTACCGTTGTCGTGACCGACGACGAACTCCCACACGGTGGAGTAGCTCAACCAGAACGAGAGTCCGATCACCCAAGGCAGGCAGTTGATGAGGATGGCCTTTCGTTTCGTACGAGAGATGAAATGATTGATGGGATCGTAGACAGCTCGGTGTCGATCAGCGCAGATGACGACCACGCTGATGTTGGAACCGTTGACGATCCCGCCTGCGACCCCGGTTAAGATCTTACACACATCCTGCGAGAAGGGATAACGACCGTGGTAAGCATGGGCTACTTGTGCGGACATGGACAACCCGACAAGAAGATCAAGTATGCTGAGGTTGATGATGAAATAATTGTTGTAGGTGCGGAGTCGTTTTTCGACAGCGAATGCCAGCAGGCTGATGGTGTTGAAGATGATGATCAGAGCGGTGAAGACACCGCTGCAGACAAGGCTGACGAGACTAGAGGGTCGAGACCCACCTCCACCCCCGGGAACTGGTGCTACGTCAGTCACGTTGTCGCTATAATTCTGATCATCGGTCCAAAAGATTGTGTACGACTCTGTTGTATCAAAAATACTTGCCATTGCTGGATTCTCAAATATTTAATTCAAGTTCTTAAATGGACTTTTTGTTAGTCCTGTGAACTACTCAATATTGGCTCTTGAAAATTGTACGTCTCTTCCAGTTTTACCCTGAATATATTTTGCTTGAAAGCTTAGAAATGACAATTGGTCATGTAAAATTTTAACCGCGAGAGTGTCTTTTAATATACAAAACACCAATTCATTTTTTCCTTTAAATCGGGATGAAGTGGAACAAATTGAGTAGAGGTTGAAGTATTTATATCATATTTCATATTGTTGTGATGCTCTTGAGGTCAGACAAAACTAGAACAGCAAAATGTATAAGACGGACTACTCTTATTTTTCGATATTTCACGGTCATTGGAAAGTGAGTTCTTAATATTCTGCTCGCATGATAACTAAGAAGTCTGACAATTATAACCATTACATCTCAAGGATCAACTTTAATGGATCTTTTATTCGCAGTCGATGCAGAATTAAGGAACAAAACGTATACGTCCTTCAAGTTTAATCCACGTGCAGCGCTTCTGTGATAAGACTTCGTTTTTTGATAATTTAAATTGCTTCATTGTGTTACTATTCTATAAAGGGAATACACGTACAAAGATTTCATATCTTTTGCGTTTTTTTATATTCTTTTTCTTCTTCTTCTCTTCTTCCTCTTCTTCTTCTTCTTCTTCTTCTTCTCTTCTTCTTCTTCTTCTTATCCTTGTTATTATAACTATAATACGTATTGTCAGTAGTAGTAGTAGTAGTAGTAGTAGTAGTAGAAGTATTATTAGCATCATCATCATCATCGTCGTCGTCGTCATCATCATCATCATCATCATTATCATTACATTTTCTATCGACTTCTTCTTTTTTGAGCGAAGTATGATGACAAAGCAAGTAATTCGTGAGTGTTCGTTAGAGAGAAAGAGAGAGAGAGAGAGAGAGAGAGAGAGAGAGAGAGAGAGAGAGAGAGAGAAGAAAGAGAGAGAGAGAGAGAGAGAGAGAGAGAGAAGAGAAAATATTGTTTTCAGTTTGCTTTCAAATTGTGTTTTTCTTCTTCCCTATTCATTTCCGATTTCTTACTCTAACAAAATATTTTAAGGGAAAGATATCGATAAATCCGTTTCCCGGTGGTATCCATTTCTTTTTCGTACGTTATCATTAAAATCGATTTCATATCGTGTGGTAACTTCATCTTTGAAGCTTTTTTTCATCTTTTTTTTCTTTCTCCTTCTTAACCCTCAGAGACGCAATTTCTTGTTCAATAATTGGAAAATCGGGAGCACAGCACAGTTTCGAGGTTTTTGTGTTCCTATATACACTTTTTCCTCAGTTGTGGAGTAAAAAAAATAACGAGAACTTGAGAAGTATGGTCTAGGGTTTTAGCTAGGAAATCGAATTAGATTATAATTTCTTTCAAATTGAAAACTGTTGCATGTCATTTATATCGGGGGGGGGGGGGCAGTAACCTATTTAACCATGTTAAGTGGAGGCTCATGAAACTTATGGGAAATACTTGTTAATTTTTTCCACCGTTAAAAGCGCTATTCATGATTCATAATAGTGGAGCGCAAAATCAGGAGATCCTGAAACGACATAAAATGCGAGTGAGCAAAGCGACCAGTAGCGTACGCAGGATTTTTTCGAAGGGGCGGGGGGGGGGGGGGTTAAATGTGAACATCGCGCCGAAAAATTTCGCAACGACTCAGCCGCTGAATAAGCGGGGTGGGGGGGGGGGGTAAGAGCATATATATTTTGTTTTTGTCCCGAAGACGGAAAATTATGCCAACCGAATTTCGTTCAGTGGGGGGGGGGGGGGGGGGGGTAAGGTAATTTTTTCCACCCTTAAGCACACATTTAAGCAAACAACGTGAGGAGGGTATCTTCCGATACCCATACATTAAACAAAATTGAGGGGGGTAACCCCCCTCCCGTCGGCGAACGCGCCTGAAAGCGACCGTTATTAGATATGTTCGCACGCATATTAGGGGCGTATAAATTTAATTCTATATAATCATATTTGCTAACTTCCTTTTTCCCTTTCTCTTTTTCGCCCTAGGTAGAGCATGTAGAGCACCGCCCCCCCCCCCCCCCCCACCCCCTCCCCTGAATACGCCTCTACAAATGCATCATTTCTATTCACTCGGCATTAGATATCTGCATGAAGCCCACTCCGGATCACTTTAACAATGAATCATGTCATTTGATTTGATTTGATTTGATTTATTGGTCATAGTCTGGTAGTGGCATCACTGAAGCTTCGTTTCTTTCTGTTTGCATTGTTTTTCAGATAAATACATAACCCCCACCTTTATGACATCCCTTCACTTTGTTAGTCAGGTAAACAAGATATTTTGATTCTTCTTCTTTTTTTTATGTGTGTGCTTTTCGTATTACGGTCAATGTCACATCGTTAGCTTATACCAATAATGAAACTACATTCCTTCTCGTCAAATCTGTTTCATTCTCTTTGTATCGAATTGAATAAATAATCCCCAATACAAGTCAAACTTTCCAATCCTTTCACTCAAATTATGTTGTTGAGTAAGATAAGAATCTACATTCCCTCGCCTCGGATTTATTTAAGATTTTTTCTTTTTCAATGTCAATTCGTGCGATTACACCATTATGAACGCTTCATTTCTTTTGTCAATATAATTTTGTTCGCTTTTTTTTTCTGGGCTGAATAAAGTTTACCCTGTAGTTATTGACCTTCCCCTTTCGTGTACTAACGGAACAAGAACAATCATTGAGATTTTACGACATGGGTTGAGATGCTATATAAATTACTTTTAAGAGCTAGTCATGTTGAAATGCGTTTTGGGGGTTGGAATAATACAGATCAAAGAAGAGCTCCCTTTTAATCGTTACTTATTGCCTCAAGATTTTGCTTGTTTGTTTGATTTCATTTCAGATCAGTGCATGGTCGGCCAGATATGCGTCATTCAACTCACCATTTTCTTACCTACCCTTAAAAAAATATACATTTTTAGCGTCCCCGCCCGTTTCCTTTTGGGGGGGGGGCCGCCTCCTATTTTTTTTTTAAAGAATTTTTAAAGAATTGTTTAAAGAAAACAAAAAACATGAAAAACACTGCTAAAATGGATCTATGGATCTACAAAAAGGGCCTCCTCCTTCCTATTTTTTCAAAAAAGCAGGACGCTAAACATGTTTTTTAATTTTATTTGGCATTAGCTAGTGTATTATAGCTATAAAGAGGGGATGATGACGGGGAATGTGGAACGGTCCATACAGAGCTCCATCTATTAATGTACAGGAGTGGGGATTAACTTGTTGAGGATTAATATTATGGATTAGTTCATTTGATGTGAGAATCCACGAACAAATAGTTAAAGCTTATCACTGTTATAGTATGATCTGGTGCCAGAAAGACGTTAATTCAGATACTTTAACACAGAGAAACAAACGCCCTTCTGGCTCCAAACAGACTATTGTTTGTGCGGATATTTTGCAGAAAAGGTCACCACCAACTTGGGCTATTCGGATTTTTGTTTTCTGATAACAATAGTTGTAACTATGTCTCTACAGATTGATTACGCGGTCACTGACGCATAATTATTATTATCTGTAGGCCTTTTATCAATGTTTCCACTAGAACGATTGCCTTTCTTGACCTTGCTTTTCACATTGACGTAGCATACAAAGTCTTTATTATTACTGAGATATGGAAAACGATTATTAACTTTTTAATCTGATTGCATATTTTTGTAATGATTATTCTGAATGTAGGCCTTCTAAGTCGTAAACCCTTACGCCTAATCTTACAATGTACTTTGTATTGGTATCAATGCTCATGTTTTATTGTCATCATCTAATGTTATTGAAAGAAAATTAAGATAAAAAAAAATAGCTATGCAATAAAGAAGTATGCATTGATGAAATAAATATCTAATATAAAACCACTTACTTGTTTGTTTCAGCTTGAGATTTTCTATGACTTTTGATATTCACATAAGTTTTAAATGATAATTTAAAAAAACATCAAACCCCTCACCTTTAACACTATTACAACGAAACAAAACTCACAGACTTGACGATAGTAACTCGTCATGATCAAAGTGCAGAGCATATCAATATTAACATAATGATAAGCACTAGTATTGAAAAAATAATTCATTCATCAAACCTCTTCGATACATGTGTATATAAACAACCTATAAAGTAGTCAGGCGGATAGTGCTTTGTATTTCATCGTAATAGAGATGTGTTATATTATCAAGAAAATGAAGATTCCCACATTTCTAGCGATGATGGTGTTAAACGTGTTCATTTGTAGGACAGACACGGCTGATGTTGGTGAGTATGGAAACTCTCCTAAAAATAAAGAACAGATTCATTCTTCCAGCATGTATTACTATCGATGCTAGCGTAAAGGCCGTGTAAAGAAATTACAAAACGCACACTGATATTAAGAAAAGGGCAGATTCAGGATTTTCAGAATGGAGGGGCTGCAAAATTACCAGACATGTTTTTTTTACTTGATAGCAACAAAACAAATTTCCCCGAGATTTTTCTCTACGCCGGAATTTAGCAAGTTATATCCTTTACACATTTAAAAAATAAATAATAAATAAATAAATACATTTTTTTAAGGGCAGTCGTTCCGAAGCACATTGGATCTGCCTATTTAATAAAGAACTAAAACCTGATACTGTTCTCCTTTTGGATTGAAGGGCAACTCCAAAACACATACAGGAGTAACCACATTCTTGAAAAGCTTTGAGAAAACTCCTGTGACACTCTCTAACATGTGCGATTTCATTTCAGAGGGCGACGTCCGACTCGTTGACGGCGCCAACGCGTACGAAGGTCGTGTCGAGGTCTTCTCCGGAGGACGATGGGGGACCGTCTGTGATCGCTGGTTCGATAGTGCCGATGGACAAGTAGTGTGCCATCAGCTCGGGTACGGCAGTGTGGCATTCAGTTGGAAGCCTGTCTCTATCATGCACGGTGCGTATTTTGGCGGGAACGCAGAGATACCCATAAATCTAGCCGATGCGAGGTGTGTCGGGGTAGAGGATCGTCTAACTATGTGTGATGGGAGCTGGGGAGACGATGTAGTAGACTGTGATCATTCTTTGGATGTCGGGCTCATCTGCTCTTACGGAAATGGTAAGTAATCTTTCTCCTCAAATATTTTTACCAGAAGTAACACTTTGCATATTTGAGAGATCATGGCTGTTGCTTGGCACTGGATGAGTTTTCTTCTGTCTTAATGTAAGGTCGTCACCATAATGTTATAAGCATACTTGTACTTGGTAATGGAGATCATTGACGCCTACTAGAAACTTGCAAAAAGATACAATGGAATGGATATATATATGTTAAGTAGACCTATAATCACAATGCCAGCCGTTTTGTTAATATTATATCTATATCGGAGTTTTCTATGTAAATAAATCATTAAAAATATTCTAATATAAAGAATAAGATATTGAAAGTGGCAATCTTATGAAATTTTTTTTGGTTGAAATGAACGAAAAAACTCGAAAGTTCTCCAAGGACCTCAAGTTAATCGAACAAAACATTTAAAGTATTTACAATACACATTTAAATCAAGTGTGCGTATTACAATGAGTATTATATCGGTGATTTATTCCAAGAAAACTACCTTTATTTCGAGTATAATTTAGCTAATTGAAAATACAGAAATGTCTTTCTTCCTTCTCTTCTGCAAACATTACTGTGTGTTAATCTGATTTTTTTTTTTTGGTTCTTATCAATAACTCCATTGTTTCTTCGTATAGACCTCTCAAAATCAGCCATTTGTACAATAATATTCAACCAGAATTATCATTAATGTATGCACGTTAGAAACCGAAGGAGATATCCGACTGATCGGAGCGGGTGTGGGTATCGAATCAGAAGGTCGGATTCAAATTGTACGTCACAATGCATGGGGCACTATCTGTCATCATTCATGGAATATTCAAGGTAAGGTATATTACTGGTAATACAACCATATCCGGAAATTAAACACCATGCATTATTTGAGTTGGGGGAGGATAGTCACGTCTAGACATCTAGTCACATTCTAATCACATAATAATTAATTTGATGATAACAGTAATGGCATCTCTATGATGAAATTATTTCCCTGCTTTTTTCAAAGGTAACGATTATAATGACGACGAAAAAGAGGGCTTACACTAAATATTGTATTTCAAGAAGAAAATTGCCAAAATTGCCCTCTGTAATGTTGCTTGCTTGCGTTTATGGTATTCAATGTCATTCTCATTACGCTTTTAGTACCATACATTATTGCACATGATTCAAATAATTAATATAAATCAAGGATGGGAAATTCAACTATCATTAGCGCATGATTGCCGTAAATTATCTCTGCAATGTCAAAAGACCGTGAAGATCCACTACGACTCTCCCCTACCTCGCATCCAACACTCGAAGGAGAAAGGTAGAATGGCAAAACATTATATACAGTCATGTATAAAGCATTCCACATTATTGCGGACTCTTCTAGGCCCAGTCAGTCGTAAATATTATGGGAATGGTTTGGGGCACACACAAAAAAGCTTTGTCCAACATGAATTCATATGCCATCACGTGACGGCATCTTTAAAAATGTTATTGTTAGCTTTCATTAGTATATTTTCATTTAGTATTAAACTTGCACAACGGTCATTTTGTATAATTGGATAATGCCGTTTTCAAAATGAAGTTGTCTGAAAATAATTATATTGGAACAATAATAATTGTCTTTTAGAGCCCATCTGTACTAGTTTACAGGAGGGATTAGACCACCCTGTAAGGTCACTGACAGGTGTTTATCACATAAAATCAGCTCTCAATTAACATAAGAAAAAGAGGATCATGGGGGACCAATGGTCACCGATTAGGCATTGTTTCGCTATATAGAGCTATACGTAGTGCAGTGGTGCTTTAACCCCCCCCCCCCCTATCCTTACGCATGATTCTTTCAGATGCTAACGTTGTATGTCGTCAACTGGGCTTCGAGTTCGCTACCCTTGCAACCAGGAACTCCTACTACGGAGGAGGCAACCTCGATCAAACTGTCATGTTAAGTAATGTAAGATGTAACGGAACAGAGGAGCATCTCCTTGACTGTGAGAACGACGGATGGGGAGTCGGGGACTGCGGCCAAATTCACCTGGATGACGCCGGTGTCAAGTGTGCCAATGAAAGTATGGATAAATGTTGTCAAGTTTCATTCTTGTTTAAACATATTTTTGGCTTATACCCAGTAAATAAAGATCGATTGATCAATCTGTAATTGAAAACAAGTCAGAAAAAAACTTGGAACTAGCTGGATTTGAACCTGCACTACTGCTTGCCGGGCAGCGACTCCACATCAGGCCATCACTTATGTTTGACATGTTTGGGGGTCATTATTATAAATTGCAGTAACCCTCAATCTAATAGTTTCTACTCAGCTCAGTTTGTCAAACTTTAGATTTAAAAAAAATATATATCTTCCTGGAGGCATGTCGCTTCTTTCTATGACAGATTGTTGAAGTGCGAATGATTGTCCTGAATCTGTGTCATCCCTGTGTCGACCCTAACCATATGGAGTTCAGAATCGTCTGGTCTTAGAGATAATGTGAAGGGGAAGGGTCAGATGGACAGATGAATTTCATAATCTGTGAATATCTAATTCAGCCATTTATGTTTAAAATTCAACCCATGTTTCATGATACATAAATTGCACGAAAAATCAGAGATATGAGGTATGTACTTGAAACCGGGTCTATGGTGGCTCAATGGTTAAGAGCGTCCGCCTCATAAACGGGAGGTCGTGGGTTCGATCCCCGCCGAGTCATACCAAAGACTTATAACAATGGGACCTTCTGCCTTCAGCTAGGCGCTCAGCATATTAGATTGGAGAAGGGTAATAGTAACATGTTATGTTATGCAGGGCCCGCTGGGGAGAGCAGTTTTATAACTGAAGTGGCTACCCTGGGTAAATAAAACGTTATTATTATTATTATTATTAACAAGAAATCAAAATGACATTTCCGGTATAGTTATAGTTGCGTACATCACCATCCGCCCCCCCCCCTCCCCCTCCTCCCATGTTAACAAGAAACCTGAATATACGATATTCAGAAAAAGCATACCATGGATTTAGCAAGATTTACATGGTCAGGTGAGTTAATATTTTTATACAGCTTCGTTGACATTCATACCCTTGAAATAGGCACTACAAGATTTTAAAAAAAGAAATTATTCGCATTGATTTATTTTTTCATACATTCTAATCTTTAAAATGCGTTTTATCCTTTTCCTTCTGTCTCTGTCCTGGTTTCTATTCTGATTGCAGTTTTTGAAGGCACAATGCGGTTAACGAATGTGCGAGCGAAACGAAGGCCTACTCGGGATCTACCACGGCGGCAACTGGGGCACGATCTGCAATGACGAGTCCTTTTCGGACGTCGAAGCCATGGTTGCCTGTCGTCATCTCGGCTACGACACGGTGACGTCATTCGCCACATCCGTCACCCTGGATGGAATGGGTGTATTCAGCTGGATGCAGTGAGACTGTTATGGATATGAATTGACTCTTGGTAACTGCGCTCATGGAGAATGGGGAAATCCTTCATCATCATGTTCCCATGATACGGATGTATGGTTGAGCTGTGAGAATAAAGCAGGTAGAATATAAACGCCACAGGAGCGGTTCTGGAAGAGTTTTTTTTCTACCGATCATAAACTTGCCAGAATTAGAATGGCACATGGTGGTCTCCCCCTTTTTTT